TCCGTATAATCCATCGCGGTGCCTCAGATCAGCAGATCAGCTTCTTCTGGAGGCACCAAGGGCCAGGCGGAAAACTAGGGGGGACAGAGCCTTTGCTGTGATAGGTCCAAACCTATGGAATGCCTTGCCGCTTTATATTAGGCAGGCCCCCTCACTGTCCACTTTTAAGTCTTATTTGAAGACCTACTTCTATTCATTGGCGTTTGACCAGGAATGACACTCTGTCTGTGGTGTTAGTGTTTATATTATTGTTTATAGCTTTTTATGTGTTGTTTTTATATTTGTATGATATGTTAAGTGCTTTGGTCAGCTGTGCTGTGGTAAAGCGCTATATAAATAAAGTTGAGTTGAGTTGAGAACAGAGAAAGTAAACAAGTCAAACATGTAAAGAGTCAATAGTCAGTGAGGAAGTTTGTGACATAAAAATATAATTCTTCCTCCCATTTTCCTGCAGAGAACCGAATCATCAGGAGATCTTACCTGCCCACTTCCACACAGTACTCTCCTCTGACAGTTCCAGGCAGCGAGTCTGCAGGGTTGGTCTCTCCCAACATCTTACGCGCAGTCTTGACCACGTCCAAACCCTGCCACGCCTGAACAAACAGAAAGGTTCATGTCTCCACCAGGCACTGCTAATGCCTTTGTAAAATACCGTACAAAACTTTGGACTATCAGATGTGTCAAACTTCGTTGCTTTCAAACTGTTCTGCTTTGGTGAGCCTCAAGTCAACATTTAACAAAATCACTCCATACACACGATCATATTTAAGTCACGTTTTGTCAACAAATTTTATGTTCCATGCTGGAAGGTTAATCTTTTAAACAATGTCGAACTGTTAAAAATGTCTATTGACTCTTACAGATGGCTCAACATTAGCTGCTTTGCTTCAGTCCCCTGGATTCCTGAAAGTCTTTATAACAGGGGTGGGCAATTCTGGTCCTCGAAGGCAGCGTCCACTTTGTCTTTCCTCACTCCGCCGTCATCTAAGATGGTATCGTCCAGCTTCTGATTGACTGAACACACCTGATCCAGGTAATCAGCAGTGGGTAGGGCGGGGATAGTTGGACAACAAGCAGGGCAACGGCCATCGAGCACCAGAATTGGCCACCCTGCTTTAGTATAATGTGGACATATGTACACTATGTTGAAGAATCTCACCATTGCAACAACTGGTCCAGAGCTCATGTAGGTTATCAGTCCACTGAAGAAGGGCTTACTCCTCAGGTCCCAGTAATGTTCCTTGAGAAGACCCTCAGATGCCTGGTTCACAAACACATACAAGACAGGCACACGTTCAGTTGGCAGGTATAGTAGCCTGGATCACTTAGGAAAGGAAACCGTTTTAGAAGTAAGGAGTCTCCTGGCACAATGTACAGACCTACTCTCTACATACCTGCAGGAGTTTGAGGCCCACCAGCTTGAACCCCCTCTTCTCAAAGCGATGTATGATTTCTCCCACCAGTTTTCGCTGCACACCATCTGGTTTCACAGCAATGAAGGTGCGCTCCTTCACCCCGGTCCACCCTAGAGCCACATAACATATGACAAAATTGAAGGGGAAAACCAAAGCGGTGACTGTTTTTGAACAGCTATGGGCCATTACCAGACAGAGCCAAAGCAGCTTGGATTAATCTCTACAGACAGTAGACGAGACTAATATTGGTTTAGTGGTGAAGGAAAATGTGCGTTTGCATTGAACCACACAAAGTTGACACTGTGAGGTCACTGACAACTCGGCCATTAATGACAGCTGTATTTACCTCTCAGTTCATACATGTCTAATCCATGTGTAAAGACACCCAGATTCATATATGTTTTGCTTGCAGGCTGCCTGTAAACAGCCATACACACAATAAAAATCTACCTCCATCATCACACATTTCTGTTGTTTCGGGTATTTACCATTCTGTCAACCCAAAAATGTAGGTGGAAACTGAGTCCATCCCCCCTCCCTTCTATTTATTGTTGGATTCTTCAATCCGTGCACATTTGCATGGCACCAACGGCAGCGCACTAACGCCAATAGGAGGGTGAGTCCACTGACAGTGAACACACATGAACTACACTACTGGTTAGACAAGGTGTCTAAGTATGACGTTAGAACAGTAGCTAACAATAGGCTTACACGTGTTAGTACCACAGAACCTGCATGCTAAGACGTATTTTACCATTATCTGTGAATAAAGCGCAAACCGTTTGTGTATCATCAGTCACACCATAGCCGGCTCACTGAACACTGCTCCCATGGTGAAAAGCTCTGCTTAAAGTTCCTTGCCTGTATTGTTTCACCAGTTCAGGTCCTTCTGTATCGGCTAGCTATCGTAACATTAGCCTATAGCCGAGGCATCTGTCCGCTGACTCTCCATCTCACGCTCCCACACACATCGCGGGCACTGTGAGCACATTATCCGGCGTGAAACCCAAACTAAAGGGCCCTGAATGTTAAACAGGGTGTGGACAGATATATCACCAACCTGACTGAAAGATGCGAGCAAATAATGACAGAAACACGCAGATCATTGTCGCTGGTGGACGGAGGAGCACACTGGAATGAGGAGGGAATTAATACGTGCGCGCGCGCGCAATTTCCATAGGACGTTCTTTAAACACGGGCACGTGGTGCTCCGAGGCGAGTTCACGAGGAGCGGCCGAAACAGCCAAAGAATTTCGTTTTAAAGTTTAAAATGATTTTTAAGAAAGTTAAAAAAAAAAACAGAAACCGCTGGTGCTACTTGAAAACTATGAGATATGAAGTCAAAATTAAATGATGGTAAGTCAATCTTGTCTGCTACTCAGTCTGCAATTTATTAGGTACACCTACATATTGGTGACAAATTAAAGGAAAAATCTGAATGCTGGACCCCAGTAAGGGGATCTGATACCTCTGTTGTGCTGTGGAGGGCATTCTGCTGCCATGGTTTGGGTCCATGTAATGCAAATCAATACAAAATTGTTCTGAGTGATCATCTCCTCTATCCTATGATGAAACATGAACATCATGATGGGAGTGATCTTTTCCAGCATCATAGTGCCCCCATCCATAGGGCACAAGGGGTCATTGAATGGTTTGATGCTTAGTGAAAATTATGCGACTCATATACTGTGGCCTTCACAGTCACTAGATCTCAACTCAACTGAACAGCTGTGGGAGAGTTTGGACCGACATGCTAGACAGCGCTCTCCATCACCATCATCAAAACGCCAAATGAGGGAATATGTTTTGAAAAAATGGTGTTCAGAGACTTGTAGCTGTTCTGGTGGTGGCCCACCACCTTTCTAAGACATTATGTTGGGTTTTCCTTTCATTTTTCACAGTCTGTAGCTACATCATGCTGTCTTATCCAACAGTACTGCATCTTCCCTCAAGAAGGTGGTTTGGTGGTTCACTTTTTGTCCTAACTGTTCTAGAGAGGTGCTGATTCAACTGTATTCACAGTACTATATTAAACAGAGGTGTTTGTGTAGGCTGCCTTCAGCATAAACTACAGCCTCCAAAATGAGCATCCAAAAAAAAAACCTCTTACAGCAGTAATATTTTACCTTAAGTGAAAGGAACATGTGTTCTATGTTTCTGAAGCCCATAGTTGAAAAGGAAATTATAGAGATAGTGAATAAATGTGGTAACAAAACATCTAGTGATAGTGATGGTATCACTATGACAACTGTTACATGGGTAATTGAGGGGATATGCAAACCATTAACCCATGTTTTTAACATGTCGTTTCGACTTGGTCAGTTCCCCAATAATATGAAAATAGCAAAGGTTATTCCACTGTATAAATCTGGTGATAAGCACAACTTCACAAATTATAGACCGGTTTCTCTGTTGTCACAGTTTTCAAAAATCATGGAAAAACTCTTTAATAACAGATTAGACACATTTATTGATAAACATAAAATCCTTTCTGATTGTCAATACGGTTTTAGGTCGAACCGATCAACATCTTTGGCCATTACCGACCTGATGGAGGACATTA